CTGCGTGGGCAGATCGTTGGCATAGGTTGCCTCACCCGAGCACTGAATAAGTCCCTCGTGCTTCTCCGTTGGCTTCGTCACCGGATAATGCTGTTCAAAGGTCTCGAAACTTTGCTGCCCCTTCGACACAGGACGCTGCAGCAAGGTGCCGCCAGTTATATGGCGACTGCCCAACACCTGTTGACGCTGTCCGGCGGCCTTTATCAGGAACTTGTACAGCAGACCACAGGCCAACCTACGTCGATAGTCAGGCGACGCGTCCGGCAGCACCTCATCCGGCTGCAGCAGGGTCGACAGCTTAACAAACGCTTGCTCCAGCAGTGCATTGTCAAAGGGATTGCGTCCGACCAGCAGCTGCTCAATGTCTGTCGCATGCACAAAGTCCGGCCGAATGCCGCCAAAGCATATGCGAGCATTCTTCACCTTCGACCCCGCGTCCAGTTCCAGCAGAAATGCAGCGTTCACATAGGCATGCGCATTCTGGGCACGTGGCATGATCTGCAGCGGAATGAGGAAAGAAGTTAGACAGAAAACTAACTGATGGTTGGTTAGAGATAGAAGCACCTCTTAAGTAATGGAGGCAGTTACTCTCTGCTAGTAAAAAGGAAAACCTGTACCGGGACAGCAAGAAGATCTATTGATTAAGATCAAGAAAGATGCACGCTTGCAGACACAGGGCTAAACACATAAGGTTTGTTGGCCTTGTCGCCTATACTTTGGTTATAATTCTCAATGGGTTAAAGCTTCGCATTGGTGACAGGCGCTTGTATACCTAAAGGCTCTAGCAAAGTCTGCTGATAATAGATCTGGGAAGTGCTTAAAGGAACTATTCCGACAACCTGCTCACTTTTACCCTTTATAACCTGTTTGGGGTAAGGTGTGCTTTTAATGTTCATGATGTTATATTCCTATATCTACTGGCGTTTGAAGTGATCTTGAAAATAGTTAATATCTGACAAGAGAAAGGTCATCCTCCAACTAGAAGGTAGGAATATAGGAAGGCTAGTTTAAGGGAAAGGTCTGATAGAATAGGAAAACCCACTGGAATAAATTGAGAGATCCTTCTTAGTATTTAAGGAGACTTCCGCTATTTATCAGCATTCAATTCCACTTCAAATCCCATATTAGCTGTTAGATCTAGACTTACCTTATACGAATCGAACAGGACGTTCTTCTTTGAATAGGCGGGCAGAACAAATCCACGAATAATTTTACCTTCCATGGGTAGTTTCAAGTAGCTGGCCAGGCTGACAGTTTGCTGTTTCTCTGGCGACTCCTGAACTATGACCTGTGCATCCAGAGCTTCCAGAACGATGAACACATCGGAGGGGAACTCGGGGTGCGAGTGCTTAATAGATAAGTTGCCTGCCAGAGTGCCGGCCTGCGTTAACGTAAAACAAATGAAATAAGAGAATTATTAAGTAGTTTAGATAAGATACGGGTGCACTCGGCCCTGGCAAAGCTGATGATACCGAAATGCAGCCCCGTGACTTACATTGCGCACTGGCACATTGGCGATCCAATCCAAGTGCTGCCACACCTGGGCCAGGTACTCAAATCCGGAGGTCTGCTCCAGCTTGCGGCATATGTCCATGGTCTCGGTCAGGCTCAGATTGCCGCCCAGGGTGAGGGTCTTATCCGCTAAGCTATAGCTTCTCAGCTCCGCCAGGGCACGCACGTCGATAAAGGCCTTGATCTCCGCACTGCGCCTGTAGATGCCATGCGCCGTGTTGCCAGCGACAATCATGTACGGCAGCTGCTCCTTGACAGCCCCCTGCAGGGCCCTGAAAAGCTCGGCGAGTGTCTGCGGCCAGGACCAGCGACTGCCGTCGTCGTATTGCTGAACGCCTCTTGGCTGGCTCTTCTTGCAGCTGCCGGCACAGAGTTCGCCCGTTTTGGGGCACTGCTTGGTGCTCAGATCCTCAATGTCCGCACACTCCGCCGGCACCGGAATATTGCTGTCCACGGCAAAGGACTTCATTGCATCCAGTATGGGCCGATAGCCGGTGCAGCGGCAAATGTTGCCGCCAAATGCATTCTCCACCTCGGCCATGGTCACGCGACCGCCGTGGGACTCCAGCAGCGCGTACATGTTCATCACAAATCCCGGCGAGCAGTAGCCACACTGGGTGCCGTTCATCTTGGCCAGACGCTGCTGTATGGCATGGTAGCCCCTGCGCTTGCTGCCCAAACCCTCCGATGTGGTCACCTGCAGGCCCAGGCAGGTGTTCAGCAGCGTCAGGCAGGAGTTGACCGCCCAGGTGCACAGCTCACCCGTAACCGGATGAACACCGCTCAGGGCACAAACGCAGACGCCGCAGCCGCCCTCTTGGCACATAAACTTGGTGCCCGTGAGACCAGCATGCTCCCGTATAAACGTGTTCAGGCTGATGTCCGCGGGCAGGATCGACAGATTTACTAAAGAAAGGATTACAACAAGCACTTAATAAAGAGACACAACTAGACCTAATCCTAAGCAGAGACCCGCATAACAATTGAACACGTAATTCTTTTGATATATATAGAGATTAACTTAACCTCAATGCCCTCCAGGTACAGATAAAAATTGTATTTAACCGAATCGTAATTTATGTCCTAAAAAGTTGCAAGAAAGGTATTCTAAGGAAAAGTTTCAACTATCTCAAGAATATTCATATGAATTACGATATAATTATAATTATGAAAGATTATGTGTTCTTCTATGACCTGCAAATTATTGCATTAAGATGAGGTTTAACTAGATCAAGTCTAGAAATCAAATTTTCATTTCTATAACCTGAACCCATTAAAAATTGGTAACAAGAGTATAATGTATTTCTGCAAATGTACTGAATTAAAAGGGTATTCTAACATACATATATGAAAAACTGTTGACAAGAAAAATAAACCAGGTTAAAAAAAACTAAAACAATAAAAATAAAAAAAAATTGAGATTTTAAATTTTAAAGAATTCTCCATTCGAAAAGTTGGAGTTTTCGAGCGACCTCCCTAAGTCTGAAATATAATTTTCTATAGATTGTTATCTTCCAAATTATGTACATATATAAAAGGCGTTAACAGCGTATGTAATTAATGGTTACATACATATGTATGTACATATATATATCTATATATTATATATTGTGAAAAACTCAATTTAAATGCACTTAAAATACGTCTTCATATATGTATGTACATATATGTATGTATGTATATAGACATACCTTCATAGCAATCGCCGTTGATAGTTATACTTTCCGACATTATCTGTGTTTTTTTTCGTTTTATCTGCAAAAACACTTGTATAGCACTTTACATGTGTATGTATTTTGATTGTTTCGTAAATCTATTTATAATACCGTACACCTATTATTTGTACTATTAAACAACGTTCTGGAATGTATTTCACAATGTCTCGCAACTATTCGCAATGCTTAGCCCACGCCGATCTTCGCGACACTGTAGTTTCGGGCCCCTGGGCCGGCGCATTTATTTCCCGAGCCCGTTCATTAACGTTCGTCAAGTTCAGCTGAGAGTGCGAAACGTTACGTCTATTAATTACGGCGTTACGTCTATTAATAACGTTACGACTACTAATTCACACTTGCCGCATGTGCTGCGAATGTACCAATATCGATGCGTTGGTACACTGAATATTCATCCTACAAAATGGTACCAAACTTTTTGATCTTATTTTTGCCCTGTTATAAGTAATTGGATCAAATAATATATTATTTGTATAACAATTAAAGTTTATTTAATTTACTATTTTGTTATTAATAAATTTTTAAGAAATTAAAATTAAAAAAGGAAAAAAATTAAATATTTTAAAAATAATTTTCTCACGCTTTATTTAAACAGGCATGAAAAGGTACATTTACTTTAAGTTTTTGGTACAACATTCTTATTGACAGTGGGCATCGTGCTTACGTTGTCGCGAGCTTTACTTTTCCCCCCGCCTCTCTCTCTCTCTCCCTGGCCACGTTATCTTTTTCTCTCTCTTCACAAGCTCATTTCTAATCGCTCACCTTTTTCTGGCGCTCCCTTTTTCATTCTCTCTCAGTTTCAATTTGTTAACTTCGTTGGGTGTCGTCGGGCTTATCGCCAAGTGTTTTTTTTTCTAAATCTGATATAAGCATTTTTTGTTTTGGTTTCATTTCTAAACAAACCGACGCACATGGCTCCACTCTAGCGGGCGCCTTCATGCCTTTTAAAGAGCGGGAGGTGTAGGGAGCGTCCGGTTCAGAGAATTGCATGTAACCAAAACAGAGAATCGGCTGGCGGCGACCGGTTTCGCGTGTCGCGAAATATTTGATTAATTTAAAAACGGGCATTATTTTACTTTTTCGTTGGGTTAGGTTTAGTTGTAAAGCTATTATATTTGATTATAATTAACTATATATATATAATAATATAATTAAAGCCTATCAACGTTGCTTTTTCTATAAATAGCCAACGAGATTTTCGTACAAAAACTCTATATACGAGCCATTATTTGCATGGGAGCTAATATTTACATTTTTAGAGTTTTCTTTCATATTCGGAGCCCAAAGCCAAAAATTAGGCTTGAATATCCTTAATAAACCAAAAAGGTTGCCATACAAAAAGTCCATTTTTAACTGATTGTTCCTATGAAAGCTATAGTCATAGATTGCCAAGTTCTGTATTGCAAACATTTGCCTGAAAACATTTAAAAAGAAAAAAGACCGATCGCATATATGACAACTAAATATATAATAGAGTGGTTCGATCAGATCGACATCCTGCTACAAAATGTCGAGTATATGCCAATCTCTAACAAAAGAGCTTAAAAACTGGGTGCTAATTTTGCGTAGAAACAGACGGACATGATTATATCGAGCTGGATACACATACTGATCAAGGATATATATAAATATGTACTTCATGGAGTTTGAGAAGTATCCTTGCATTAGCAATTTGTGTGACAAAATTCAAATATCCTCTGCAAGGCAAGAATGACACGACTTCGAATGACACGACTTCGAATGAATCAAGATAGGTACATTTAGATACATACATCTTTTTGTATGTATAAATATATTTGTCAGATATAGAGAAAACTGAACTATCGTCTGTGCAAGTGCATAAATGTTTGTATACGTGTATGTATGTGCATGTGAAATATATGTATGTATTCATGTGCCCTCCACTCTTTCACTTGAGCCGAAAGGTTTTGACATCGTGTCCAGCATTCAGTAGCAACGTTTCGGGTGTTGTGGGCGCACCCAGGCGCACCCACTCCCTTGGCAATCCGGCATCCTTGCGGGCCGATTGCAATGCCTGCTGCAAGGCAAAGACAACGCTGACGGCCAGGCAACAGGGCGGCTCGCCGGTGGCCTTGGAACGCATAAAGCCCGCACTGCTCGCCTGTGGATTCTGCACAAGTTCGATGCGAAAATCAATGGGTATATCCTTGGCGCCCGGCGGCTTGTAGTTCCACGTGCGATTCGTGAGCAGGCGACCCGTCTGGCGATCATAGATCAGCTGCTCGCTCAGCCAGTAGCCCAGACACATGACGAACGCCCCCTCGATCTGGCCAATGTCAATGTTCGGACTGAGGCTCTCGCCGGCATCTTCCAGCAGATCGACGCGCTTGATCTGATTGTTGCCCGTAAGCACGTCCAGCTCGATTTCGGTTAGCGCCAATCCATAAATATGATAATTCTGCATATCGCCCTCCTTATACTGATCCGAGGCAATCAGATTGATGGAGGCGGCATGGGCCGCCTGCACCGTTTCCTGCCAAGTGGCCTTGGCCTTCTTCACCGGCTGCAGTCGGGCGTTGAGCGTCTCGCAGGCTTTGCGCACAGCATAGCAGACGCTTTCGCTGCCCACAGCACCGCCGGTGACCATGGAATTGGCGCCATTAATTGTGTCCGATGACTCGATCTTGATGTGGTTCAGTTCGATGCCCAACGTGTAGGCGGCCACCTGCGCAATCTTCGTGTTCATGCCTGCCAAACATGGAGGGGGAAATGAGAAGTATATCAATTCAGTGGAACCCGACTAGCAGATGCCCTGTAACCCTACTCTATTGAGTACAGGGTATAACATGCGTTTACACAGATAACAACCTACCTTGACCCATTTCAATGCCGCCATGGGTGACAACGACTGTGCCGTCTATATGATAAATGGCCACCGTTGCCGGATACTGGCCAAAGTAGAAGATCGGATAGTCCATTATGGCCAGACCCAGGCCACGTTTGATCCAACGGTTGTCTGCATTGTGCGCCTCGATCTCCTTGCGCCGCTGATGATATTCCCTTGACTGCAAGAACTGTGAAAGCAGCTCTGCCATTTTATGGCCCTTGGATAGGTTGAGCAGCCGCACCTCGGCCGGATCCTTCTCCACCTCGAACGCTACATGCTCCACAATGTTTTCGATCATGGCAATGCCTTCAACAGAGCCAGGTGCACGGCACCACGTTGAGCTGGGCGCATCCGTCAGCACAGCGTTGCCGTTGATCTTGTAATTGGCATCGGTGAAGTCGTAACAGTTGGCTGCGGTACCTGTGGAGTGTCCAGAGATGGGGCTCTCGTTGGTATTCCAGCCGGCGTCCTCATAGAAATCATTCTCCAGACCCACTATTTTGCCAGTGGCCAGCACATGGAACTGGTAGTCGGAACGGCAGGCCCAGCGCTTGCCATTCGCATCCATCATGGACTCCAGCGATTGCACAAAGCGCACGGGTCGATTCAGCTTGTGGGCGGCCAGGGAGGCGGCACAGGCCACCTGATTGCCGCGCGATATTTTGCAGCCATAGGCGCCACCTAAGCGTCGCACCTGCAGCTGCACATCCTTGGCCTTCAGCTGCAGCATGCGAGCAATTACGGACTGCGTGTGATCCATCCACTGTGTGGCGGAATAGACCCTGAGGCCATCCTCAAAGGGCACCGCTACCGTTGTCTGCGGCTCCATGCTGAAGTGATACTGCAGGCCCATCTGGAAGACACCACGCACACTCTTATCCGGCGTGGCCGAGCACTTCAGCTGGCCCGGCTTCGCGGAGACCTCGCGCACAATGCGCGACGCCTCCGGCGTTGGCGACATGTCCAAAACGTCACTTAAGCTGGGCAGCACTGGTCGCGCCGGTTCCGGCTGGCCATAGCTGATCTTCACCAGCTTAGCGGCGCGCTGTGCACACTCCGCACTCAGAGCCACCACCAGGCCCGCGGGCTGCTCATAATGGCGAACACGGGCCTCACAAAAGATCTCCTCCGGCTCGTAACCAAAGTCTGGATCACTGAACGTGTTCGTGCCGGGCACATCCTTGGCGCAGTAAAAGGCGAGCACGCCAGGCTGACGAAGTGCCTCCGCCGCATCAATTTGCTCTATGCTAGCGCCCACCTTGGTGGCGCCCACAAAGGCGCAGTGCACTGTGTTGGATGTAGTCAGCAGATCGTTCATGTACGTCGCCTCGCCCGAGCACTGAATCATGCCCTCCACCTTCTGCACCGCCTGCGTCACGGGATAGTTTTGCTTCTGCGTCTGGTACACCTGTGTGCCCGAGGAAAGCGGCCGCTGCAGCAGCTGGCCACCGCTTCTGAATGCATCGCTTACGTCCGCCTGGGGCGCCCGCTTCAGGAGAAACTTGTATAGCAATCCGCAGGCCAGGCTCAAACGATACGCGGGCGATGCATCCGGCAGCACCTCATCCGGCTGCACCAGCGTCGACAGCTTAACAAACACCTGCTCCAGCAGTGCATTGTCAAAGGGACTGCGTCCGACCAGCAGCTGCTCAATGGCCGTCGCATGCACAAAGTCCGGCCGAATGCCGCCAAAGCAAATGCGAGCATTCTTCACCTTCGACCCCGCGTCCAGTTCCAGCAGAAATGCAGCGTTCACATAGGCATGCGCATTCTGGGCACGTGGCATGATCTGCAGCGGAATGAGGAAAGAAGTTAGAGAGAAAACTAACTGGTGGTTGGTTACAGATAGAAACAACTTATAAGTAACCTGGGGGCAGTTGCTCTCTGACTGTAGAGAGAACGAGAAAGAAGGGCTATCTTCGGCACGCCGAAGATTTAATACCCTTGCAGACCCAACCTTTTCTTAATGCTCATAGTGCTTTGCTTTGTTAATGCCGCGTGTGGTTAAAATACTTTGAAATACAAAAATGTTATCCATACAACAACTTAATTTTCGACCGATCGTTCCTATGGCAGCTATATGATAAAGTGGTCCGATATGGATAGGATTTTGCATATATATGAGGAGCATAGTAAAACTAACAAATGCCGAGTTTGGTCAAGATATCTATAGTGGTCCGATCCAGCTGGTTCCGACATATATACATAGAAAGAGGGACTTCTGCAAAGTTTCATAAAGATAGCTTTAAAACTGAGAGACTAGTTCGCATAGAAACAGATAGACGGACAGACGGATATGGCTATATCGACTCGGCTGTTGATACTGATCAAGAATATATATACTTTATGAGGTCGGAGGTGTCTCCTTCTATGCGACAAAATTATAATACCCGCAGCAAGGGTATAAAAACTTAAAACTGAAAGCGCAAGTTGCATACCGACTTTTGTCGACTGCCTAAAAATACCTTATATACCTTATATGATTCGTATATGTACTTATCCTTGGGATAAGCTGGCAGCAGGAATGCCTTGACCAGGAGTTTTCTATCCTTGGAGCTTAAGTAGTCCGCCAGTGAGAATTGCTGCTCATCCGTGGCATTCGTAGAGGCAATGACACGCACATCGAGTGCTTCAAAGCTGATGTGGACATCGGATGGGAACTCGGGATGTTGCTTCTTGATGGACAAGTTGCCCGCTAGAGTGCCAGACTGCAATAGAGGATTGATTGATTGGAGGATTGATTGTGTCGCACGGCCGAGACTGAAACTCACATTGCGCACGGGCACATTGGCAATGAGATCCAGATGCGTCCACAACTGCTGCAGATACTCGAAGCCCGCCTGCTTGGAGGCATCTTTCAGTATGTCCATGGCCTGGCTGAGGCTGAGATTGGCGCCCAGCTTCAGCTGCTGCGGCTCGCTGCTGTGCTGCTGCAGCTCTGTCACGGCGCGTAGATCGATGAAGTGTTTAATGTCCAGTGGACGCCGATAGACGCCATGGGCCGTGTTGCCCGCGACAAGCATAAACTGCTCCTGCTCGCCCACCTGGTCCAGGGCCTCGAATAGTTGAGTCAAGGACTGTGGCCAATGCCACCGGCTGCCATCCGTGTGGACCAATGTGGAGCCCACACAGCTGCCGGCACAGAGTTCGCCCGTTTTGGGGCAATTACGCGCTGACAGGTCCTCAATGTCCATGCACTCCGCCGGCAGCTTAATGCAGCTGTCCACGGCAAAGGACTTCATTGCATCCAGTATGGGCCGATAGCCGGTGCAGCGGCAAATGTTGCCTCCAAATGCATTCTCCACCTCGGCCATGCTCACTTGCCCCCCCTGCGCCTCCAGTAGACCGTACATGTTCATCACAAAGCCCGGCGAGCAGTAGCCACACTGGGTGCCATTCAGCTTGGCCAGACGCTTCTGTATGGGATGATAGCCGCTGCTCTTGTTGCCCAGCCCCTCCGCCGTCACGATCTCCAGCTGCGCGCAGCTATTCAACAGCGTCAGGCACTGCAAAAGTCAAGCTATAATTGTTGTTGCTCGCTTTTCTTTGTTTTGTTTCTGATTAAGTAGTGTGGATGCCCTTTCTCACCGAGTTGACCGCCCAACTGCGCTTCCCGTCGCGCAACACGCAAACGCAGACGCCGCAGCCGCCTTCCAGGCACATGAACTTCGTCGCCGTCAGCTGCGCGTGCTCCCTGATGAAGGTGTTCAATGTGATATCCGCCGGCAGATTGCTCAGATTCACTGCAGAGATAAAGGTTATTGGAACGGGGATTACTCGAAAATGAAGAATTGTATTCTTGCTCAGTATGTCAAATGCTGGAAAGGGTATTCAATTTTCGGCACTATTATATCTGAGTTTATTTTTCTTCTGTTCAATTAGTCCATCAAAATCACTTAATTGGCAATCAAATATAATACACAGAATCATTTTGCAAATGTAGGGCATTTAATAGTCGCAAATACTCGAAACTTACCCGCATAGGGCTTGCCATTGATTGTAAAAGTGGTCGTCATATTGTTGTTTCTAAAAATAAATCCGTTGGAAATGCCCCGTTACTTGGCTCCTGCTGCTGCAGCTGCTACTGATGCTTCTTGGCGCTTCGGTTGTTCGCCTTCAACTGATTCTCGATTCACCAGTTCGGCAACAAATTTGCTTTGCTTCCAGGCAGTTGCGATTTTTTTAAATAAATTAAATTAACAACTATTGAATAAAAAAAAAAAATTCGTAGTTGTTGCTCAACTTTAATTGCAGCTTTGCAGCTTGCAGCAGTGCTGCGCCGTTCCGAGCGACCTAACGACGCCTATCTTTGTGTTTGTTTGTTTGTTTTCCCGCTGTTGTTGCTCAGTTTGCTTTGGTCTGTCGTCCGGCTGTCTGTGAAGAGTCACGATCTTTGCAAAAATAGCAACAAAATGTACCATAAATGGAACTAGCTGTGACTGCGTCAGTGCCCTTGGGCATAGCGTGAGAGAATATACACATACATATATACAGAAACATATATGTATACATATAAACTTATGGACATACATACATATATGTATATTTTCATGTAACTAAGTATTTGTGCAAATAAAACAATCTAAATGACAAATGCAAACAAATTATATAAATTATTTATACACTTCTTTACATACATATGTACATATAACAGATTTACATGTTTAACTATGCATGTATTTAATTTAAGTGCTTATGTAATTATTTGCTTTCATTGTTAAGCACTAAAATTGCAAAAAGAGTTTTGTTACATTTTGTTTGTTAATCAGCTGGTAATTTGTCACAACAGTGCGATCAAATATTTAATTTGACTTTATAATAAATAATTGACAATTTTTAGATAATATACATATGTAGTACATATGTACTTTTTAGCCCGCAATAAAAAAAAACTGCAATTGCTGCCGCACACACACATATACATCATGCGAGAACAAAAGAGAGCAAGCCGGCCGGCACGCACAGCATTGCCAGATCTAATTGCACTTTTACATTTTGCTTTTCAATCGTGCTCCAACAAGTTTTGCAATTATCCGATAAAATATCAAACTTATAAATTAAATGGATTTCATTTGTAAAGAAATAATTTAAAAGTGGTTGCTTGTGTTGTCGAATATCACTAGGTGAAAATGTAAATAGTGCAAATATACATATATGTACATACATATGTATATTTATTAGGACAAGTGAACAACAGTGCAAATGGAAAAGACAGAATGCTAGCTGGCGGCCCGGCGCGCAAAGCATTGCCAGTCTGATTGGAGTTTCACGGTTCCGCTTTCAATAGTTTTGCAATATTTAAACAAAATGATAGGTTAATACTTATTTAAAGTGATTATATTTGTGAATGCTTAATACTTATTTAAAGTGATTATATTTGTGAATGGTTAATAATAATTGATTGTACAATCTAATTCAAGTGAATGCAAATCTCGTGATAGCACGCAACTGGCGTAGTTGTTTTTTTAACACGCTAATTGGAAGTTCTGGTCAATTGAATATTTATATGTATGTATATATATAGTTTTCCTTTGTAAATATATTATAGTTTTAGCTAAAAGCTCATATGTATAAATTAACAAAAATTTGGCGGAATAGTTTTTCGCAGCAATTGTTTTTTTTCCTTGCTTTGCTTTGTGGAACGTAAATGTGTGTGTGTGTGTGTATGCAAGGCAAGACATTTTAACCTTTAGATGGGAATTATCTTACTTGGGAATTTTTTGGGGTATTCTCTCTTGCCAGCCTAAGTAAGCGTTTAATTGTTGTTTTTCTTGATTTTCTGGATATTTTTATCGTAATTTTTTTGTTTGTTTGTTTCTTGACGCGAATTAATTAATTAAATACATTCTCGTTTGCAGTTACCTGCTGCCAGCAGTCAAAAATATTTACACAGGCTTCATTTTTATTGACTCCAAAGAATTCCGTCTGCTTGCTGGAGGAGGGGGGGGAGAGAAAAGTGTCCACTCATTTAGGAATCATTTGTCAAAATATAAATCGGGAGAACGAGAGAGGAATGGGTGTAGGAAAATGTTACATAATCATGCATACGGCGTACAGAAAACATGCCCCAGAACAACAACAAGAAGTACAATAAAGGGAAATGTTCCGCCCTGCAGCTTATCGATATTCAAAAATCGTATTCGAACGTTAAACAAGTAAAATTAAAATATGAAAAACGCAATCTTTTTTCACATGGCTAAGCATTCGGTTCGGTGCCCCAAAAGGCCGGCAACCCGCTGTCAAACAGGTACCCGAAAACCCGCTACCCATTTACCCCAACCCTGCTCTTCCCAACAGAAGTTTGACTTTATGCCGGGGCAGTGGGCGTGTCCGTTGTTGTTATTGTTGTTCTTGGAGCTGTCATGCATAATAAAATTCGAATATATATTCGGGCGCACGCCTTCGCCTTGTCTTTGGTTTTGGATTCGTTCTCGCTGCGGATCCTTATCAAACACGAAAAGTGACGTGTCCAACTGCCAAAGACGATGATGCACACAGGTCCAAGTTGGCGGGCAGACAAACAAACCCCGTGCCCCTTCTCTACCGGCTCACCTTGATGAGCTTCTCGTCGCTCGACACTGACCCACAAAAAGCATCGACCCGCCAAGCCCAAGTGAAATTATCTGTTCCTTGTCTTGAACCCAGCCTTGTAGCCAAGCTCATGCCATAAATATTTCGTGTTTCGATTAGGTATAACACATTCGCAATTTTTATTTACTTATGCGCTAAGCTTTTAGCTAAAAGTGTTCTATGCGATTCTCAAAGTTAAATATGAGGAGTCAATACAGTAAGCATATATTAGATTCGAAGAGCTTATGTTTTAACCATAAAGATAGAGCGACATATATGCTTAAGGTGGGAGCCAACTGAAATACAGCTTGAGTATAAATTTTTAATATGTGTTTCCAACAATAAACATTGTTTAATGCGTTGAGACCCTTTGCTAAAAAAGAAGAAAAACCCTGGGCAACTACTCGATTGTGACACATTTAACCCTTTGTCACAGCCATTGACAGTTCAATAATGCCACATTCGAAAAGGGAACACGCTCCCTGCTATTGTCCATTTGCTATCGATGTGCGACGGGTGCGGGGTCAAGTGGAGGCGTGGCAGCGCCTGAGTAGGGACAAGGTGTCACACATCAACCGCCAGCAGCGGGCCAGGTACCAAACGCGTTTGTTAACACAAAGCAAACATGACTTTGTTATCAAAGTGTGTTAAATATTGCATTCGATTTATTGTGATCTATGGTTATAGCATACAATCCCTTGGAATCGCAGAATATTAGTTCATGTACATATATTGAGTTTGGATTTCGAGGTCCGTTAGGTTAAGTAAGTGCATAGTATACTCTTCTAGAGGTTGTTATACATTTTGTCATGAAAAGTGTAACGCTTATATGGAGACATCTGCGATTCTATAAATTATATTGTTATTGATCAGTATCAACTGTCTGTCTGCTTCTATACAAAATGGTAGTCTCTTTGTCTAAAAGCTCTCACAATCGGCTGGGATCGGACTACTGTATATTATATATTTTATTCTTACGATCGTTCGACAATTAAGTCAAGACTTGAATAACTATTTTCTTTAACACGTTTTGCCATGTTTGATCAACTTCGGATCACTTCGGACCACTATATCATATAGTTCTATTCGAATAATTGGCTTAATACTACGTTTTGGTAACATTTTAAGTTAATTTGACCACAATTTGTATAAACTGGCCTTACCAGGCATGCTACAGGTATATTATTTATCATAAAAGTTGAGTTTTTTCCATATGCATTCACAGTATGCATCTCCCTTAGTTCAATTACAAGTACATATTTTTGATTTCCCCAAGATAATACCTACTTCTAAAAAGCTTTTTAAGCATCACATTCAAAGTCGCGCTTTATAGGGTGTTTACATTTCGGTCAAGCTCAATTTCAGTTCTGTTTCAGTCGTTCGAAACGCTTTGGCTCGCGACTCGCGATTTGTGGGGACTCTTGTCGCCTGTCGGATGTCGAATTAAATTCCCATTATTTGGCTGAAATAATTTCCCGTTTATCTTGCGCCTGATGCATTCGCATTGATAAAACCAGCGACGCGTTTTGATGGCTTTCGCTGCATTCGTTGGCAGCTCCTTAAAAACGTGTGATATATTTTGCACAGTGAAAACACCGCAAATGTGGGCAAAAACTCGAAATCGAATTCAGGTTTTCGGGCCTTTTAATTGATTCATTAGTCAATCGTTTGTCGAGTTGCTCTCTGGGTGGGTCCAACTGGGTATCGGGTTACCCAGCAAGACGCTCTTTGTTCTGCTTGGCTGCAGCGCGATGCGCCCTGCGTTTGTTGAGCTGCACCTGCCACGCCCCCGCCTATTGTAGGCCAGCAGTCAACTGTCGTCAAAACCCATTTGTGGCACAGACACCAACTGAAAACTATAACATTTCTATTTTTACGAGTTCAACGAAAAGTTAATAAAACCCCCCAAAAAAAAAAGGAACTGAACCCTAGACAGAAACTGTTAATAGTTATTTTATTTGCGACAAATAAACAAATAACATTCATTTTAATACCCTCGAAACATTGCAGATGCAGAAAAGGGCATAGGAAAAATTTGTGTAAAAAGCAGTTGAATGTAACTTGGACTCCATAGAGCTTATATATTCCTGATCAACATAAGGTTCAAATCTCACTTCAGTCTGGGTGATTCAGCTCAAGCTCTATGCCAGAGCGACTGAACCTATTGAAACCAGACATTATTTGGTTTTTTTGTAGGGTTTTCAAATACAGTTCATGAAATTTCTTTCGAAATTAAAAAAATTATTGGAATATTATTCAATAATTATTTGATGTTTGTTATAAATTTCTTCTGCTTGCCATTTGTCTATAGGGTAACCACAGGTCGAGCATACGCACTCTAACACATTTCTACTTGTTATTTAAGTGAAATGAGCTTTTGACAAACTAACAAAAATAAAAAATAAAACCAAGCGGAAACCTAATTGAAAGTAGGCACGCAAATTGAGTTAACCAAGCGGAAAACCAGACCATTAAAATTGGATTGCTGGGAGGGTGTCCAAGCCGGGCAGGAGAAAGAAAGAGAGAGAGAGAGAGTGAGAGGAGGGGGGGATAGGGTGACCCCTGTGACTATTGGACACTGGGCTCGTTGCTGTTCGATTTATGGCATTTTGGCAATTGTCA